AAACAAAATAAAACGAAAATTCTCCCAATGAAAGGGAGGGGGAGAAAAATGTCTCAGTAAAGAATCTATGTTACTATCACAAACATTAATTATATTCATAAAGCCAGTGATATGGTATTTCGGAAATACACCTTACAGGAAAAAGAAAACCACTTGTTTTAGAAAAAAGCAATCCATCCAGCGTAAAGTTGGACAACAAATTGTTTGGCCTTCAGAGCTGCATCTGAAAACAGGAAGTTCTAAGGTCCTAAGCGTAACAAAATGTTGCACAACAACCATTCAACAGGTGCGTAACAAAACATGCCAGGCACACACTGAGTCTGAACACACCAATGGATTCTGTCCTCTAAGCCTGCTGTCTGGAAGGGAGCTGAGCATAGTATTATTTTAGAATCTGACACGCCTCCTGCTTCAAGAGGAGTGTCTACGTATGTTTTCCACTTGACAGACTCTCAGCTTGATGTTGACAAAAATGGGAATGCGAGGGGGTCCCTGGGGAAAAAAGATGAAAGTCTCCCATGTGCACGGATACCGTTAATAACAGATGAGAGACAGAGAAGGAAAATAAACACACATTCTGTTCCTGCTCATTGAAAACTCTCATCTACAGTCTCAGAGTGCATATTACTCAACTGGCATCACATAAGCACCTCCCACACTTCTGTAAAACACTCTGGGGATGGTCACAGATACCTGCAGAAATCATCAACTCGGGGTCAAACCAACTGAAAAATTCTGGATTTAGCAAAATTTAGCATCTTTCTTTTCTAAAGAGGATTCTCAATATGCTACAATTTAATATGCAAAAAATGTATTTTGTTTATGTAAGAGAATGTAAAGTATAAAGATCTTCAAATTTATATATTTCCAGGAAGCCCCTTTTCACCAGTATCCATGGCAACTAAAACTCCCTGGAATTAATTTTGAGAAACACTGTATCATAGGTACATAACTTGTATTACTTTTGAAAGTAAAAAGTGTAAAAACCAAAATATACACATAATTCTAATTTTCATGGTCAGTCATAACAGCTATACATTTAAAACGTATATGTAAACATGTTATTTAAAACAGCTATACATTTTGGAGCCATCCGTCCATAATTTCTGCTCATTGGTCTTTGTTTAAACCTCTGGAGCCACACTGAACAAATGAAATAAATCTAAAAATTTTGTTCTGTAAGCAACTATTATTTCTCTGTGTTCAATTCCATCTTCAGTTCCTTCTGTTTACATAAATCTCATTTTTCGTGTATTTTATCATTCTTTCAATACATACTAATTGAACATCTACTATGTGCCACTCCACTCTAGGTATCAAGATGCAAAAATTACTAAGAGTTAAAAGTTGAGAAGATCCCCGTCTCATGGAAGTAACAGTCTAGTTAAGGGAAGAAAATACAAATAAGAAATTAACCCAGAAGAATATAAAAGAGTATCATAAGTGCTATGGAGAAAATCAGTCAAATGTTATGATATGACTAACAACACATTAGGGGGAGTTGGGATTTGAGAGTATATCAACATTTTTTTTTTTTTTTTTTTTTTTT